GCTCAGACTCGGCTCATAGTTTAATCGGGTTTAATAAAACGGCTCAAACTCGGCCCGGCTCACAATTAATGGGGCTCGGCTCAAATAAAATCGGGCCGAGCTATCAGGCTTCGGGTAGGCCCGGCTCAATTGCCGGTCCTAAATATATATAATCGAAATGCTAAATCCCACACTATTTTTACCAAATCATGCACATAATTAAAATTATTTCTCTCTCCAAAACTTCTCTTCTCCTTTCCCACCCCTATTCGTTTTTCCTAATTTTTTCACAAAATCACAGACTAAAAACATCCCTAGCATTCCAAGTTCGAATTTGACAAAAATCTTTTAATGTTCAAACTAAAATAAAGTTGGAATTTGAGGAAAATATTCGAATTGATATGAATTTGAATAATTAAAAATACTTAATTAATGAAATTGAATAAATATTAAAAAAACGGAAATAATTTTTTTATGATTATTCATGTAAAAAATTAATGAATTTTGAGTGACTTGGATAAAAATCATTTTAGAGAGAAGTTAGAGAGTATTTGAGTAGAGAGATTTTTTTTTTTTTAATTTATGTGTGGGATTTAGTAAATTTTAGTGTGGAATTTAGCATGCCCCTATATATAAATAACTGATATGAAAAAATGCTAAATTATATTTTATTTATTGATTTTTCAAATATCTTAATTAACATAACATATTTCGACAGATCTTAGCCCAAAAAAATGTTGTCGGCTGGTGGAACATCTATGTATTATTTGATTAAATTATTGATTTTCTTGAATCTTACTAATTTCTCCCAAAGACTAGGGTCCTTGATAAAACTCAAGTCTTCTTATTTCAAACATAGTTTGTCTTTATACTTTTAAATACAAAGAAAAACTTTAATATAGAGAAAGAAGGATGATTAATAAATAATATATCAATTCGTGGGATTAAATAATAATAAGGGCAAATTACGGCCATCCCTGAGGTATGACCAAATTACGAAACAACTCCTCTTGTTTGGTAACTACAACCACCCCCTCCTTTTAAATATTTTTACATAAAAATTTATGTAATTCGGTTATTTACCGAACACAAATTGTATATTCAGTTCGGTAAACGGTATGAAATGCTTGCATACTGAAATTTCGGTTCGGTTTTACCAATATAATATCCCTAAATTTACCTCTAGAGGATTTTTTGTAAGATAATACATAGTTAAGGGATGCGGCTGTAATTATCCAAACAAAAGAGAGTTTCCGTAATTTGACCATGACTCAGGGGTTGGCCGCAGTTTTCCCTAATAATAATGTATATTATATACATTAATTAATTAAGCACATTCTTGACTATCAAATATAAATATTTAATATTTTTGTTTTTATTGATAAAAAAAATACAAAATATAAGTTAAAAAAATTAAACAAATGGTCGTGTCATTATTAAGAACTGAGAAGCCCACATGTGG